ACCCCCCAGTTCCAGGACCCCCCATCTCTTCCCCCATTTCCAGGCTCCAGGAGGACTCTCCCGCCCTAATCCCGATTTTTATCCCCGTTCAGCCCCGATCCCTGCGCATTTCCCAGGATTTGGGACACCGGGAGCGGGATCCAACTTTCCTCCCAGTTTGCTCCCAGTTTCCTCCCAGTTTGCTCCTGGTTTCCTCCCAGTTTGCTCCTGGTTTCCTCCCAGTTTCCTCACAGTTTGCTCCCGGTTTCCTCCCAGTTTGCTCCCGGTTTGCTCCTGGTTTCCTCCTGCTTTCCTCCCAGTTTCCTCCTGCTTTCCTCCCAGTTTGCTCCCGGTTTGCTCCTGGTTTCCTCCTGCTTTCCTCCCACTTTGCTCCCACTTTGCTCCCACTTTGCTCCCAGTTTGCTCCCACTTTGCTCCCGGTTTCCTCCCAGTTTGCTCCTGGTTCCCTCCTGGTTTCCTCCCAGTTTGCTCCCAGATTCCTCCTGGTTTCCTTCTGGTTTCCTCCCACTTTGCTCCCAGTTTGCTCCCGGTTTGCTCCCGGTTTGCTCCCAGTTTGCTCCCGGTTTGCTCCCAGTTTGCTCCCGGTTTGCTCCCGCTTTGCTCCCGTTTTGCTCCCGTTTTGCTCCCGGTTTGCTCCCGGTTTACGGGGCGCGGTTCCTTGCAGACATCGTGAGCACGGCGCGGCCGGACGAGAAGGCCATCATGACCTACGTCTCCAGCTTCTACCACGCCTTCTCCGGGGCCCAGAAGGTACCGGGAGCCTCCTCCCGGCCCCTCCGGAACCTCCCGGAACCTCCCGGAACCTTCCGGAACCTTCCTTCCGGAACCTTCCTTCCGGAATTCTCTCTCTCCGCTCTCTCACGCCGCTTCTCTTCCAGCCACGGCCGCTGTCGCTTGTTGTTTTTTGGGGTGGGAGTTCCGGGGTGGTCCCGGGCTGGCTCACGAGGGGTTAAATCTGCCGGGGGGGGTTCCCGGAATTCCCGGGAAAAATCCGTAGGGAATCCGCGGAAATCCGCGGGATTGCGTGGGAATAATTGGAAGTCCAGGAGGGATCCGTGGGGATACGTGGAAATCCTTGGGAATCCGTGGGAATCCATGGGAATCCATGGGAAATTAATGGGAATCCATGGGAAATCCTTGGGAATCCATGGGAATCCATGGGAAATCAATGGGAAATTAATGGGAATCCATGGGAAATCCATGGGAAATTAATGGGAATCCATGGGAAATTAATGGGAATCCATGGAAATACTTGGAAATTCATGGAAAATTAATGGAAATCCAAGGGAATCCTTGGAAATTCATGGGAAATTAATGGGTATCCATGGGAAATCCATGGGAAATTAATGGGAATCCATGGGAATCCATGAGAATCCATGGGAAAATCCATGGGAATCCATGGGAAATTAATGGGAATCCATGGAAATCAATGGGAATCCATGGGAAATCAATGGGAATCCATGAAAAATAATTGGAATCCATGGGAAATTAATTGGAATCCATTGGAAATCCTGGATAAATCCATGGGAATCCATGGGAAATCAATGTGACTCCATGGGAAATCAATGGTAAATCCATGGGAATCCATTGGAATCCATGGGAAATCACTGGGAATTTTGAGAATCCATGGTAAAATCCATGGGAATCCATGGAAAATTAATGGGAAATCCATGGGAATCAATGGGAAATCAATGGGAATCCATGAAAAATCAATGGGAATTTTGAGAATCCATGGGAAAATCCATGGGAATCCATGGAAAATCAATGGGAATCCATGGGAATCCATGGGAAATCCATGGGAATCCATGAAAAATAATTGGAATACATGGGAAATTAATTGGAATCCACGATAAATCCATGGGAATCCATGGGAATCCATTGGAATCCACGGGAAATCCACGGGAATCCCCGGAATTCCGTGGGAG